GTTAAGCTAAACTATTTTTGGTTTTAAGAAGACTTCAGGAGATACTTTTTGTTCAAGTTTTAAAGATTATTTCAGGGCCGTAGTTTCAGGGTTCATTCAGCCTCCATGGCTCCAGAAAGTCTGAAGTCCATGAGAATTTGAAATTGTGTTCTGCAGTTTTCTCCTTTTGATCCACGTTCTTCTGTAGAATCTTTGATCAAGATATTCAGTAATGGTAGCTGGGCACCATCTAGTTCTTCTGGCTTTATAGTAAAGGAGATAGGCAACTTGCTTTTTTTATTCAGTATTCTTAGTATTTGTACATGTTTTTGCATGTAGCTGTAATCTATTTATTTTTGCTGCTGAATAGTACAGATACAGATATTACCATAATTGATTTAACCTTTCTAGTATTAAAGGGCATTGAGGTGGTTTCCAGTTTTTTGAAATTGCAGTGTTGCTATAAACATTCTTGTAGGGGTTTTCTGTACACACCTCCCAAAATCCCTCTAGGTAAACACCTAGAAGTAACATTGCTTTAGATAATACCACATTGTTTTCTAAAGTGAGTACACTAATTTATATGCACACATACACACCAATAGTGTATTTGACTACTGTTTTGATTGCTCCACATCTGCTTAGCCCTCAACATTGTCAGACTACTTAGTTTTCACCAATTTGGTGGGTATGAAATGTTACCTCCTGTGGTTTTAATATTCATTTCCCATATTACTCAGCAGGTTGAACATGTTTTCATGTGCTTGTTCACCATTTATGCTCCTCCGAAGAAGTGCTTGTTAACACTTTTATCTGCTGTTTTAAAAAATTTCATTTTGTCCTTTTCTCATGGGTCTGTAGGAGTTCCTTATATATTATGGGTTCTAATCTTTTGTCAGTTATATGTGTGTTACACATATCTTCACCCCATTTGCAGCTTGTCCTTTTACTTTTTTTTTATCATTTCTTTTTGTTAAACACACATAACTAATTTCATTACAGTCAAATAGTTCAATTTGTCCATCTTTCTCTTTATTGTTTACATTTTTTGTGTCTTACTAAAGAAACCTTTCCCGGAGCAGTGTGAGGGTGGCAGAAGTGCCCCCTGAACTAGCAGAGCCAACTGCCAGACACTGCTGCCATCATGCCCAAGCGAAAGGCTAAAGGGGATGCTAAAGGGGACAAAGCGAAGGTGAAGGATGAGCCGCAGAGGAGATCAGCACGGTTGTCTGCTAAACCTGCCCCTCCCAAACCAGAGCCCAGGCCTAAGAAGGCCCCTGCGAAGAAGGGAGAGAAACTTCCCAAAGGGAGAAAGGGAAAAGCAGATGCTGGCAAAGATGGAACCAACCCTGCGAAAAACAAAGATGCCTCTACAGTCCAGGCACAGAAAGCGGAAGGCGCTGGAGATGCAAAGTGAAGTATACATTTTTGATAGCTCTGTACTTCTAATGACTGATGTTTGAAATACTATTTTTTTTTTAATCAAATTTTATAAAAATGTGAGATTTTGGTTTAGCTTTTAATTTAATTTAACGTTTTTAAGTTATGTTGTTAGTATACAGAATGCTTCATGGTTGTTTTTTGTGGACAGGGCAATACTACTAATAGAATGTGTCTCAGAAGGTAGATTGAAATGGAGGAAAATCAGATTTTCTATCTTGGGTTTCAAGGATTGTCCTTGGTTACCATGCGGGATTCCCTCATGTGAATTCCCATTCATATGTCAGACCACTTTGACACAGAAGCCTTGCAGCATGGAGGGAGGGGCCCCGCAAAACTTCATGTCCTCTCTTTCCCTGATGCCATCAGCATAGACTTGACTTGCTGATACAAGAGTCTCAATGTGACCCTGGCATCCCTGAAATTAACAGTGTCATAACAACACTCAGGCGATACAGACTTTCTGGTGATGACATCAAGATGGTATTGCTCAAAAGATCCACAGTTCCTGTTTTTCCTTTGTAAATCAATCCATTGAGAATTCTGCAGTTTTTAGTTCGTTTCCTCCATGTCAGAGTTGGCCTGTGAAGAGCTCTTAAACTACATGCCTCGTGTGAGATGTCTACACCTCTGAAAACTTTTCCTGTTTAAAGCAGTAAAAAAGGACGTTGTTGACTTTCACAGTGACTTTTTCCAGAGAAGAATTTTGAAGTTTAAAATGTTGTTGATTGTTGCCCATGTCCTGGTGAGAGTAATGTGATTGTTTTTGACAAGTATCTTATAAAGCTGAATACAAATTGCTTGGGGAGGGAAATCATTTCCCACCTAAAGCCAGAAAGATATTTTCCTGTACTGCCTTGTAAAGTTTTATAGTTTGCTTTTCACATTTGCCTTTAGTCTGGTCTGATTTATGTGAAAAGTATGAGGTAGAAGTCCAATTTAATATTTTTTCCATATGGATAAGTAGTTGACCCAACTGCATTTACTGAAAAGTTCATCCTTTCCCTACTGATCTGTGACTTTAGCTGTTTCATAAATCAAGTTTCTGAGTATGTGTGTATATGTGTGAGTCTGTTGATGGGCTCTGTTCAGATATACTGGTCAATTTATCTAGCCTATACCAGTACTATACTATTCTGATTACTATACTTTTTAAAAAAGATTTTGATATTAGATTACAAATCCCACTTATACCTTCAACATCATCAAATTTTTCTTCCTCAGGAGCATCTTCACTATTCTTAGCCATTTTTTCTGCCAAGTTCTGCATCAAAAAAAAAAATTAAACAAAAAAAATTGTTGGGATTTTGATTAAATTTTTATTGACTTTATAGATTAATTTGAGGAGCCATGTCGTCTATACAATATTGAGTCTTCGAATCCATAAACATGGTATAGCTGTCCACTTATTTAGGCCTTTTAAATGTCTTTCAATAAAGTTTTATAATTTTCTCCATAAATGTCTTCTTTTGTTAATATTTCCTAGAGGCTTTGTACTTTTTGATGCTACTTTATATGGCATATTTTTAGCTATTACTTTTTGTGTGTGTATGTGCTATTGTTGGTTTTTACATCAGCAACCTTGATAAACTCTCATTAATTTTTATATTTGTATATTCTTTTGAATTTTCTACATAGACAACCATATCTTCTGTATATGCAAGCAGTTTTGTTCCTCTGCAATCCTTATACATTTTCCTTTCCTTAATGCTAGCTATTATCCAGGTGCCAGAGATACAGCAGCAGACAAAACAATCTCTGATTTCATGAAGTTATGTTCTAGCTAGGGGAGTAGAAAATAAAGAAATGCTTAAATGTATGTGACAGTAGGCCTTAAGGAAAAAAATGAAAGAGGATGTTAGAGTGGTTGGGGAAGTCCTCTGTGATGACGTGACATTTGAGCAGGTCCCTTAATGAACTGAGGGAACAAAAGAAGTGAATATCTGAGGGAAAAGCATTCTAGCACAGGGAACAGGAGTGTAAAGAAATGAGGTGGAAATGTGCTACATGCTTAGCTGGCTGAAGAAGAGCAAGGAGGCTGTCTGCTACGTGGGAAATAGACTGTAAAGGCAAGAGTGGAAAAAAAAAAAAAAAAAAGCCAGTTGGACAGCTGTCGCAGTAGTCCAGACCATATTGGTGACTTGGACCTGGTAGGAACAGTGAAGGAGAGTGGATTGGCTATGAGGTGCCAGAGAATTGGCAGTAAATAATGCCATGGTGGGAGGATTGCTTCACTTTCTGAACCACACTCTTCTCAGTAGTATAGCATGAAATACCAGGTGGTTTAAAGGATTAGAGATACTATATGGACACATTTACTATTGCAGTTTACCAAATTAACATTCTGATGAATAAAGCTCCCTTGGGACTTTGAAAAAAAATAATTCATATTTATCAGAACCTAACCACTACTGGAAAACTAATTAAACAGCGCTTTCTCAAATCTATAAAATGAGGGCCAGACACCTTCATGTGAGTCCTTTACTAAAACCATTAGTATATATAGTAAAACTAGAATTACATTATATAATGCCAATATTTCCCTTTGTAATAGTGAATTTCTGGAAATGCTGCTTTATCATGAGTTTTACCACCTTTCTGTTCTATTCCCATGCCTTCTTATTTAGTAGACAATAAACATGTATCTGTACTTTCTTTTTGACAGACAACTGGGCTTGGCACAGATCAGGGTCAAAGATACAAGAAATACTCTCTGTTCTCAGCCCAGAGTCATATGAGGTCGAGTCACCACACAGTAGTGTTCTTTGTGCTGTGGTAATACTGCAGGGGACCCTAATACTGATGCCGGAGCATGAAGGGGTATTGGGGAGGACTTCCTGTGGAATGTTAGCACCTCAGTAACAAAATGAAAACAAATAGGAGTTCATCAGGCAACCCATTGCCACTGCCAGTGAGTCAGTTTCAACTGAGCAACCCTATGGGACAAAGTACAACTGCCTCATAGGGTTTCCAAGCCTGTAGATCTTTAGGGAAGCAGACTGCTTCATCTTTCTTCCTCAGAGCGTCAAGTAGGTTCAAATCGCTGACCTCTTGGTTGGCAGCTGAGCACTTAACCATGTGTAACCAGAGCACCACTGAGATAATACAGTGAGTGATAAAATGCAGACTAAGATCCAGGTCTGTAGCTTCAGGGCCTGAAAGAAGACTTCTCCTTGTTAAAAAGGCTGTCTGTCCTACTGAAAAAAAAAAAAGGGGGTGGTGGGGGTGAGTTTTTTTTTAAAAAAAGTGTTTCTGAGTGAGTTGAGGAACCTCCCAAGGTACCACTAGGAACTGGTCAAATGCAAAATCTATCAGTATCTATAAGCCAGATAATTGTAATTTCCAATGAGGAAGGATAGTAATAAAAGCAGTAAATTGCAAGGGGAAGTAGTCATATAGAATTTAAGAATATTAGTGTAAATGAAACTGATACAAAGCAATAGAAAGGATATTGTTTCTGAACAAAGATGATGAATTTTCAGGCAAAATTATTTCTGAAATAAGGAAGGCTAATTTAGGAAATCATAAATAAGCCTCCCTAATAGCATCTGCCACTGCTCGGAAGGAAGGTTGGGCAATCTACTTCCATAGTAATACTGCCTCGGAAACCCAAGGAGGGGTCGCTATGAGTCGGATCCGACTCAATGGCAGCGAGTTTTTTTTTTATTAAATAGCATCTGCTTTCCTTCACAACAAATCAATATTCATCCAACTACGAAAGAATTTGTAATTTATTCTTTCTTCAAAGTGATTATTATTCGAAACAACAGTTTCAGCTTTTGAGCCAGATACACAAAACTTGAAAAAAAAAGTTCTCCCTGCCCACTTCTCGGAACCACTTTGCACTTAGATTCCTAGCTGTAAACTCACAAATTACGGTCCTGGTAATTTACAAAATACATAGTATAATATTTTGAGAGTTTGGGTAGCTGACATCAATAGACCTAAGTGATCTAGAGTTTTTAATAAATTTCTGACCTTAAAAACTGAGGCATAGGCCCTGGAAGACTTGGAGAAAGAAGGAGGAGGAAAACTTGTTCCTCCTCATTCTGTTTTCAAGTGGTCACGGTGACCCTTCTACAAAGTATCATGTCACACCTCTCTCGGAAACCCTCCCCCCAATAGCTTCCGTTCCGGCTCTGGGCTCAGACACACTTCCCATCCCTTTTAGGCCGCTGGGAGGTCCACATCTCTCACCAGGATTGAGTCCTGGTTCCGGAGGGGAGGCTGGGATCGTGCAGTTTTCTCCTCAGTTCCCTCGCAGACATGGCTCAGAGTTTCGGGTCGGACCTTCCGGAAAGCTTACCTCAGGCCTCTGGTGGCGTTTCAGGAGAAGCAGATCGTCAGCACTGGGAGGTGGAGTAGCCTTGGAGACAGTGAATATCCGTATGACTTCTTACCCTTTTAGATGCTACGAAATCCTGTAATAGCATGAAGAAGCCCATGGGACCCTTCTCTGAATTAATGTTTTTTTAAAAAAAACAGCATTAAGCACACACACACACACAAAATTACAAAGAAAACCAATTATACTGAAAAATGGTTATCAAATGACTTTAAAATAATTTGCAATATAGGAATAACTGCTTCTTTGTTAATATACTAAAGGCAAACCTCATAGCTATCATAATTTCAAAATAGTTACATATGAGATATTTGTAACAACTGTAATATGATACAAAAATACCTATACTTTTTCTTGGTAACAAAGCCACAGATACTTCTCTCAACTGTGGTTCACTGCCTATGTTCATAAGTAAAAGAAGTGCTAAATTTCAGTTATAGGTTACAGATGTATTTTTCCCCCCATCCAAGTTCACCAACCCCCATGTTAAGAACCGTACAAAAGTGTTTAACACTTTTAATGTGGCACATTAAAAGCCCTCTATAAATACAGATATTGGTGATTTTATTATTACTCTTCTTGCACCTGCTCAAATTTATTTTAAGTGAATAAGATGGAGTCTATCACATGAA